TTTTAATTTTCAATTTTCGTTAATCCGTTTACAAGATATAGCATCCCAAAGTTAGGTGGTTTTGGGTGGTGTTTGTGTGTTATAGGTGTATGTTAGGTGGTATTACACACGAACACCATTTAAGTGTTGTTTGATAAAAGAATCACCCTGTATATGTTTTTTACAAAAAATAAAAAAATTGTCAATGACTGGTAGATACCAGTCATTATAGACTATAGATAGCTATAGTGTAACATAGACGTAGGTACCTAGTAGATATCAACTACATTTGGATGAAATATTGTAGATTTGTGTATTTATTTAAAATAATATTACAAAGATTTCTAAAATATAACAGTGCATAACAGTCCTTAATCATCACTTAAAAATCACTTGATCATCTAAATTGTAATGTTTAATAAAATTGTAATTTCATTAATTTGGCTAGCGATATTATTTTTTTCTGTCTCTTCGTCTGTTTCACATAAGACATTAATATCTGATAAATCTATCTCCTTGTTCATATGAAACTTTAGAGCATAAAGAAATTTAAAGAAATTATTAAAAAGTTATTTTACGTACACATTTAAATATTTAATTAAATTTGATATTATCTAATCTTATTTACAGTAGTTGAGAATATTTTAAATGGTACCACTATTGTTTCCACATATTTTTGCGTGGTTCGTGAATATTATTATCACTGACTTTCCTGTAGTAAGGTACCGATAAGCAGTATAAGCTATAATAGTTGTTATAAATATATAATATACAAGTGTGATTCTAAAACGCCATAGAATCTATGGCAACGATAAATAAAATGAATGCAATAATATTTTCATAACATGGCATAAGTGTAAACATTTGATTTCGTCCATAATATAAAATAGTATTATTTTAATTAAATAAAAACAGAACTTATAAAAAAAWAATTTTTTGKTTTTTAAACCAATTGACAAATATCTTAATAATAAAGAACTTCATTTGTTGCGTTTATCTCTGTAGTCTGTATTACACRTCTGCCAATAGTGATAAATTAATTATTATAGTTAGTATATTTTGGTTTTTGATTTATATAAAAAAAGTATTTTAATAGTGAAGGAMATATTATTTATTTCCAAGATAGTTTTAACCAAAAAAGGCAATAGAATTAAGAAATATTTAAAATTATTGTACTTGTAATTTACTGAATATTTTTTTCTGCAAGGTTCTAATATTTCTGAGAAAAAAATGAATGACATACAAGAAAAATTTATTTTGAATGTAGGCGATACAAACGTCCATAGAATTGTTCAGAAATACGTGGAAAATCATGAAAATTCAAACGATTATATCGCAAATCCCAATGGTAAATTTTTGTWGAATATTAGTTTGAAATTTGGTATAAAAGTAATTTGGGTGAACGAGTATTAAAATAATATTCATGTATTTTATCTAAACCTAATTCATATGYGATATACTTACAAATTAAACATTACATATTACTCTTTATAGTGTTGGATGAGTATTTCTGCAATGATGGAAAAATATCAATTATTAGTGMTGTTTCAGATAATTTTAAGGACGTCCAGGTAAAAATACGGATTCATAAATTTATTTAAATTTAGATCAGACAATTATTGTACAAGAAATATAAATAGTAATTAATGTTAAATCTATATTATAGTTTGTTTTTTTCAACAGAATAATGATACTATATACCTAATCAAATTGTAATAAATAATAATTGAATTTAGAGTGGTTATATTAAATAGKTTAGGTTAATCATATTATCATATTATCTTACTAGTATTATAATTTTAATTTATTAGAGGAAAAAATCAGCACAATCTGATATTGAAGACAGTGGTGAATTATTATCGTACCACGAGAAGAATATACAGTTAGAAACAATCGAAAAAGAGTTCAAGGGATTAAATGTAAGAGTGGCTTGGTCGTCAAATGACGAGCGTATAAGCGTCCGTAAAGTGTTTAAAATATTTGCTAATTTATTGATTATAAATTATAATATCTATCTACAGATAAAAAATGAATTACTCACTGATCAAGTTCAAATAATCACCGATCGRAACAAGTTAAGTAACGATCAAATAAAGTCGATCAAAGCTGAAATACACAAGTACCTATACACAATAGCCAATATAGTCGCATAATATATGCATATAATTTGTTCATTATAGTAAACAGAATTAATAATATCATTATTATTGTGGTAACATTATTGTCTTGGTAGGATTCAAACCGAAATCGAAATTATGCACGACAGGAAGACAAATAAAGAATTGGAAAACGCTGCTTACTTTAAAGCCATCGTAGACAAAATGGTGGAAATCCATTGCCATATCGACCAATTTACAGAGGTAGTAAACGGTTTGAAGCTCGAGCTAGAAGATGCGTGTGAAAATAAAAAAACGATTACAGAGATAATGGAAGTGTCAGAGTATTTGAGAGCCTATTATTTTATGCGAGTGACCGAAGACCAGAGAAATTTTACTGAACAAATAAGTAAACACGCGAGCGAAATCGATCAGTTAAAAACGTTTGCGGATATTAAAACTAAAGAAGTAGATATGCTGAGAGAACGTGCTAATGAACAAAAACTTTCCATTGATTCTAATGAAAAATCGATGAAATACATTACCGATAAGGTATACATTATTTTATTTCATATTTATTGGCAACGATATAATTACAGTACACTTTTCATCCAAATTCGAGTGCATAGATTTAAATATTTAATCAATACCTATATTAACATTCAGTTGTTTTCTTTTTAGTATTAATAAAGATTAATTACAAAATATAATATATAACGTAATTTGATCACAATAATGTAATTATATAAAATATTATGTTTATGATTATGACATTTGATCGACTGCATATTATTGATCTATATTACCAATAGAACAGTTTATATGTGGCTTTGCGTGGCGCATTGGCTGTTACCGATTGCGGAATGCGACTAGAAGTAAGTAACGGCGACAGCCACTAGCTCCCAGATGGGTGACCACCCTACGTGTTTGCTACCTACCGTAACAACCGTAAAAACAACCTATCGTATCAAAACCTTACCCCTACCACAGTTCATATAGCCATTGTCGCCAGGCTTAAGATCAATAAAAAAAATTTAAAAAAAGAACAGTTATAAAAATATATAAATGAATAAAAAAAGTATTGAACCCATATAACACGCATAAAATGTAATGGGCAAATAATGGATTGAAATTAAAAATTCGAAAATTTATCAAACTAAAAATCACTATGATAGGGCGATATGATTGTTATTAATAAAAGTATTTTTAGGTGTTTGAGTTAGGTAGGGTTGTATTATGTGTATATGTGACAAGAATATGTTRCTGAAAATTCCGGGTGGTCACCCATCCGGGAGCTAGCAACTGCGGCCGGTAAGTACGCTCAGTGCATTCCCAAAGATTGAGCGTACGACCGCGCCTCACCGAGGCATTCAATATTTTATTATTATATTCTAATGTATGAAAAAAATTATATTTTTACAATTAATAACTGTTATTACAGTATCTTTAAAATATAACACGTGCAAAAGGGTTTGTTTGAAATGTCTTTCAAATTTCAATACCTATTAMATTTAAATTAAYGATCAAAAACATGTATACTATGTTGCAATTTCTGTAGCATTCCATAATTATCATTATTATTATTGACAATAATTTATTGTTAATTGTTCAGTATTAAATAAAAAATAT